ATCACAAAAACATCCCAACATTAGTCCATATGTCTGACACCATTCCACAAAGTCCCCCTCCATCTCACAAAACATACACAATGATGCTGACTGCAGGAGGAAAGCCAAGTCAGTGAATGTGGAAGCATCTTAGTGCTGGCAGGGGTCTTCACATGGCTGCTCCAGCACCCAGGGCTGCATCTGGGACTTGCAAGAAGTGAGCCTTGCCAGCTGAAGCAGGGAACTGGCTAAGGTAGCTGTACCCTGGTCCGACCATCACAAAGCAAGAGACCCGAGAACTAGAAAGGCTAGGCTCACTAGAGAGCCTAGAACTAGAAAGGCTATATCTCATTTAGATTTCTATAAATGTTCTTTGCCTCCTAGTTCTTTCCTCTATTTCCTTTTACTTTCCTCTTGTCCCACTATCATGTTTGGCTTTCATTCGGGTTTCAGTAGTTCCTCTTGGCGATATTGCCCTTGATTAAGCCCCACCAGGCATCCTATGCCCTTCTCTCCATCGATTTTAGTTCATGTGTTATTCTCTTGTCCCTGGGTTGGTTGACACCCCTCTTGCTTTCTCCTACCTCCCCCCCACACACATAAAACATGTACACACACCACACAGACACCCTCCCACCACACCACACAGATCAAAACACAGACACACAAAACACAGAAACCTCCCCACACACACCATACCACATATACACCACACACACCACCCCCTGTACAAGAAACCACACATCACACACAGAGCATACCACATCACACACACATCACAACACCGCCCAACACACCACACTACACACATCTCACACACACACCATACCACACATCACAAACACACACAACACACGAATCACAAACACAGACACACACAACACATAGAAACCACTCCCCACACCACACACAGCACATACAGCACACAGATACCACCACACCACACACACATCACACACACACAAACACAGATACCCCTACACACACACACACCACACCACACATCATGCACACATTCACTAAAAAGCACCCCAACACACACCATACACATACACGTCACATGCACACACACACACACACACAGCCCATACCAAAAAGACACCACATAGCACACACAAACACCAGACCACACACACATCACAAACACAACAGAAACACAACCAGAGAGACCATTCTGTACACCATAGCACACAGTCACAGATACCATACCACACGGACACCACACAGCACACAAACACCATACCATACAACACAGACATAACACACACACACTACACAGACACCACCCTTGCCAACACACCATACCATATCACACACACACTTCCTATTCCACACGGATACCACGTACCACACACACAGCCTGTACCACACAAACACCACACAGCACACACACACACCACACCACAGACACACCTCCCCAACACACATCACACCACACATACATCATTCACACATAGACACGCACCACACTCACCACACACAGACCACAGCACCACATCCACCAATACACCTTGCCTTACACACATCACACAAACACACCACAGAGAATACCTCCACAATCTATTCCACAAACATATCTCACACAAACACACACACACACCACACCATGAACATCACAAGCACAGACACAAAACACAGAACTCCCTCACAAACCACACACAAACACTACACAGATACCACCCCATACCTCCACATAGCACACACACACACCACACACACTACACAGACACCACTCCTGCCAACACACCACACCACACACACATCAATCATACAATCCCTATACCACATGGGCACCACATACCACACACACACAGCCCATACCACACCAACACCACACAGCACACACATTACACACACACTTACACTCACACACACATACCCCATACCTCACAGACACCACACACTACAAACATACACCACACCATTCCATACACACATCACACACACATCACACACACATTCCCTACACCGCATGGACACCACATACCACACACAGCACACTTCACATACATCCCATACCACACAGACACCACACAGCACATACATACCATACCACACACGACATACACACACCACAGACCCCCCCCACACCAGACCACACACACCACACATAAGCCACAAAGACATCCCCCCCCCACACACCACACCACACACATCACACAAACTACATACACACCCAA